GTAATGGGATTCCTGGGTCCTATGGTAGTTCCAAGTTCTTTGAGAAATCTCCAACTGCTTCCCATAGTGGCTGAACTACAAATTTAATTCTTATATGTAATTGGTGACACAACTCCTGAGAAAATGAGACTTATTCATTTAGATTCAGATGAGTAAATACTTTTGTTACTAAAACAGTATCTCCTAAATCATATACTAGAAAAAAAAGAACTACTGCTGATTGAGACATTAAAGGTCATACTCCAACCTGCTCATGTTGAAAAAAAAAAAAGAGTCCCATGCTTTATGCAAAAGCTATGAAATACTCCAGAAGCTCATACAAACATCTTTTTTTTTGAAATTTCTAGCCACCAAAACATCATCACTTTCCAATGAACAACATTAAAAATGTATAAAAACCCACAAATTTTAAATTTGGCATCGTAATATTTTCCTTCAAAGTTAAATTCCATTAATTCCGAATCTAGATATATTGCATGTAAACTATTTTTATCTGGTTTTAATTTGCTATGTTTACATTTTATTACAGCATCATTCCTCTTGTTCCGAAATATATCCTATATAGATGCTAAAATCTTCTCTAAATAAAACTTGACTGGATTAATTCCATTAAATTCCATATGGACAAGCTCTATAAACCCATCTTCCATATATAGCTGTTGATATGATTAGTGCAAATGGCTTCACGTCATAGCTCTTACTCATCATTTCAAATTTCACATTTTCACACGAGCAAACCAAACACTTACCTCTTTATGCCATTTATATATAGGTCAATTCCACCAAACCTGGACAGAAAATCAAGGTACGGTACAGTACCAGAGGTGCTGAGGGGGATCTAGATTCAAGGGAGAAGAATGACATGTTAGAGACTTAAGATACGAACAATAGATGGTAAAGCAGATTTCTAAATCGTAGCTTTCAGGGTGTCACAGCCAATACTATTAATGGGATACGTATTCCATTAAACATTTAAATACAATTGCTTAACCCAGGTGTCAGGGTGAACATGCATCCTCAGCAAATAAAGTGTAAACAGCATCCCAGAATGCCAGTCTGTACTCAACTGAAAGTCAACAAGTTATCTACAAAATTATCTAAAATCACCTAAAAAATAAAATTAGCAGAAATATACTCTTTATATACTCTAATACATATCATACATATAACACATATTAGAAGCTGAGGCCATAGCACAATTTTATACTGAGTGTCACATGAACTTTGTATATAACTTTGTACATAAAGTTTTAAGGTAGAAAAAAATCCATTTTTAAATTAAAAATTCTACAAAGGGTATCATTGGGTCAAGTGGGTCAATACAGACTGTAGATTAAATAAAGTAGTATTTCAATGTTTAATTTGCTTAAGTTGATAACTGCACTGTATTTACATAAAAGAATAGTTCTTAGGAAATGTACACTGATGTATTTTGGGGTAAAGAATTGTGATATAAGCAACTTCCCCTCAAATGTTGTTGTTGTTGTGGTTTGTTTGTTTGAGACGGAGTCTCACTCTGTCGCCCAGGCTGGAGTGGTGCAATCTCGGCTCAGTGCAACCTTCTCCTCCCCGGTTCATGTGGTTCTCCTGCCTCAGCTTCCAGAGTAGCTGGGATTACAGGCATGAGCCACCAGGCCCAGCCTCCCTCGAGTGTTTTTAAATATATATGAATGTATATTGGGTATGTTGTTTGCATACACACACACACACACACACAAAATGAGAGCTCACAGGAGAAACAAATGAGGTAAAATGTTCACAGTAGATAAATCTGAATGAATGAAAGTTGCCAGGAAAAAATAAATAAAACAAACAGAAAATGTGAATAAGGGCATATGGCATTATTTGTATCATATGGGTGCTATTTGTACCTTTCTTATTCTTGCAACTTTTCTTTTTTTTTGTTTCGGAGACAGGGTCTTGCTCTGTTGCCTAGGTTGGAGTGCAGTGGCAGGATCTCAGCTCACTGCTGGGTTCAAGCAATTCTCCTGTCTTAGCCTCCCGAGTACCTGGGACTGTAGGTGCCCGACACCACACCGGCTAATTTTTGTATTTTTAGTAGAGATGGAGTTTCATCATGTTGGCCAGGCTGGTCTCCAACTCCTGAACTCAAGTGATCCACCTACCTCAGCCTCCCTAAGTGCTGGGATTACAGGCAGGAGCCAATGTGCCCAGCCTATTCTTGCAACTTTTCTAGGGGTTTGAGATTATTTCTAAGCAGAAAGTTAAGTTGTATTTAATAAAAATATTTCCAAAAAAGCACTATGAATCTAAAATTTATTTAAACATTAAATAAATATACAGTCAATATAAATCTATTTCATGACGCTTTATACACATATACAAAGTACAATTTCCCATACAGTTGAACGGTTCCCAAATCTACACAATCAAATGTGTTATTTACTAAGCTCTTAAAATTCCGGCCTCAAAGCCTAGCATGGTTATCACAGTCTCCCCAAAAGGATGAATTGCTCTTTACTATTTAAAACATGTATCACTAGGAAAAGAGACCGGGGGGAGGGGCTCACAGGGTGGGCCTCTGTATAGCCTTTTCCTGGAAAGAATGCCCATGATTTCTTTTTCTGATAATGGATTTTTTTAGTAGATATAATTTTGAGCAAGCATTTCCATTTCCCTAGCCTTGCAGAAGAAGGACAAGAACAGATTAAACATGTCGTCCAAGGTTGGGTGCCCTCCTGGTTTTGGTAGTGATAAGAGGAAACGAGGAAGAGAAGAAACTTACATCTGCAGGGCTCACGCTGACTAAGTGGGCGCAGGCACTGTTCTCAGTGTTTTACATGAATAGCCCGAAAGCCACCCTCAGAGGTGGCGTCACCTTCTACAACTCACAAAGCAGAGGTATGGCCTCCCTGCCCAGCACAGCCATGAGTGCCCACGATCTCCGTGAATCCAGAGTGCAAGCCCATCCCACTGCACTAACCACCCCACCCATGAAGAAAAACAGAGTCCGTCAAATTGTTTGAGCTTTCATTGCATTTCATATTGTTATTTATAGTCTAAAACAAATTCTAAGGTAGTAAAGAAATTCTCTCGATCAGTCTCCAAAGCTAAGCCCCTCAGACGAGTAAAGAATCTAGTCTAAAAGGAGAGGCTCTGCTCAGTACTTGCCTTTTGGTATTTACAATTCTGGAAAAATGTTTAAGAATCAAAACCATCCATAGATGAATTGCTGACAGCAAATTCTTAGAGTGGGGCTGGGGAGGCTAGTTTTTAAATTAGTAACCGCCATTGTGATAAGTATCTTGCAACAAGACATTTTACCCAACCCGGCACAACCACTGGGACAAAAACAGAACTTTGTTTTCCTTCTCTGGAATCAATTTAGCAATTCAACTTCTTTAAAAATGGTCTCCATTAATATTCAGAGACTGAGGCCACATTTTTAAAAAACACCGAGTCTGCGTTACTCTTAAGGGAAACAAAGGTATGGGGCAGATTACAAGCAAAACCTCTTCATACTTCTTGCCCTGGTCAGTCATTAAAACACCCTGACACTCAAACATTCCTGACACAGGTCTTAAAATAAAATTGAAGCTAAAGTAAATTCAGACTATAACTGGAGAACTCGTTCCTAATTTTAAAGGGAAGTTACCATAAAATCTTTACTCATTTTGTAAGGGCCCAGTTAGGTTTACATTAATAAAAAAGAAAGTGTGGGCCAGGCACGGTGGCTCACACCTGCAATCCCAGCACTTCGGGAGGCCGAGGCAGGCAGATCACAAGGTCAAGAGATCGAGACCATTGTGGCTAACACGGTGAAACGTAGTGTCTACTAAAAACACAAAAAATCAGTCGGGCATGGTGGCACGTGCCTGTAGTCCCAGCTACTTGGGAGGCTGAGGCAGGAGAATCGCTTGAACCCAGGAGGCGGAGGTTGCGGTAAGCCAAGATTGTGCCACTGCACTCCAGCCTGGGTGACAAGAGTGAAACACTGTCTCGAGACTGTTAGACTGTTTCACCAAATGGATTCATCATAAGACCATCTAGAAAAGCCACAGATGCCGGGAAGTCCATGAATGGAGGAGGGAAGCCCTGCCCTTCATTCCCAATGACCTTGGCCTCCTGCAATGCACCACACTCCAGCCTCCTTGACTGACACACAGCTCACAGGAGCTTAAGGTTCTGGAAATCTTGCTTGTCATTTAGGATAGACTATCAAGACCTGTTTTTTAAAAAGTCTTTGAAGTTCTACAGTTCTCAGTGGCTTCTTTTAAAAACAGATGTAGCTTTTAAAAACAGATACACATTTCATATTTTTTGTACTTTTGCTCTTCCTGCATAACTGATTAGCTTGGGAACATTGTCAAAATTTTAAATTAACATTAGATCATGACTATGAGGACACATAGCAGGAAATAATATTTTAACTCTGTTTGGCATAAAGTATCAGTTAAACCAAGTTTATGAAGAAACTGGTACAATGTTTACAGGGACGAATGTTCTTCATTACCATATGACACAGCAGTTCTACCCCTAGGTATGTACCCAAGAGAACTGAAAACATATGTCCACACCAAAACCTTGCACATGAATGTTCACAGCAGCGCTATTCACAAAAGTCAAAACGTGGAAACAACTCAAAGGTCCATCAGCTGAAGAAAGGGTAAACAAAATGTGGTCTATCCATACAACTGACATTACTCAGCCATAAAAAGGAATGAGGTACTTATTCATGCTATAACATCGGTGAGGCCTAAAAACAGGTGCTAGACACACAAGATCATTTATTGTGTGATTCCGTTTATATGAAATGTCCAGATTAGTATTTTCAGATACAAGCAGAAGGGAAATGGGGAGTAACTGCTAATGAGGACAAAGTTTCTTTTTGGAAAGATGAAAACAGTCTTCAATTAGATAGTGGTGATGACTGCGAAATTGTAACTATATTAAAAACATCGATTTATACATCTTTGAAGGGTAAATTTTATGATATGTAAATTATACCTTAGTAAAACTGCCATCAAAAATGTAGACAGTGTCTACAGCCATTACCATTCTGAACGTGCCTGATCTTGGAAGCTTAAGCAGGGTTGGGCCTGGTTAGTACTTGGATGGGAGACCACCTGGGAATAGTGGGTGCTGTATACTTTTAAAGAAAGAAGAATAAATAAATAAATAAATAAATAACTTTTAAAAATGTAGACAGCAATAAAGGGTGATGTGGGAAAAAAATCATGTACTATTGCTCCATTGTTATAGAAGTAAATAAAGGGGGACCTTTTTTTAAACGGAAGAGAAAAGTTCTGTCTTCCTCCTCCTTTTCTATCTTTTCTAACGATTCAGTCCTCAAGTCATTAGATGGGACAGAGGGAAATGATGTCACAGTGTGGGGGGAGCCATCAAAGTCTGAAGGAGGATATGGCATGAAAATGGCATCACCATGGTGTGGGGTCGGCGCCCATGAGGGGACAGGAAGTGCTGGAGATGAGCAACGGAACAGGGAGACTGATCAAATAAGCAAATACACTAAGGAAAAGAGAAGCCACGTTTCTCACTCAGTGAGAAGATAGTGACAATCATGGAAAGGGAGAAGCCAGAGTGATCCCTGGAGTGCTGGGTTAGAATTGGTGCTTCTCAATATGTACAGAGAGACTGATACAGAATAAATATAGATGTAAAGGTATGTATACATGTATGTGAAAAAAAAAACAAAACAAAACAACATGTATCTCCTAGAGCTCTGCTCACTGAGAGGCCTGGGAGCAGGAGCAGCCCTCATGCCCACATCCTGGCTCCTCCGTATCTTCTTCCACTCGAAGGAACCACAGTTGTTCAGTAAAATGGACGACTCCAGACTAAAGCGAGGAAAGTACAGATGAGCTTAGAGTATCTTATGTCAGAAAGCAAAAAAGTGCTTGAAGAATGATGGGGACATGTCAAAGGATATGGAAATCATCTTGAGGGAGTTCTTCCCCGCCAAACTGGGAATACTTTAAACATCAAAAGAAATAGTGAAAGTAATAGACCCATAACCACTTAACAGGAAATCTTGAGTCTCTGCAATGTATGAATAATAAATGTGGCCGGGTGCAGTGGCTCATGCCTGTAATCCCAGCGCTTTGGGAGGCCGCGGTGGGTGGATCGTTTGAGCTCAGGAGTTCAAGACTAGCCTGGGCAACATGGCAAAACACCATCTCTACAAAAATGTACAAAAATTAGCTGGACAGTGTTGTGCGCCTATAGTCCCAGCCACTCAAGAGGCTGAAGCGGGAGAATCACTTGAGCCCAGGAGGTTAAGGCTCCAGTGAACCAAAATCACGCCACTGCATTCCAGCCTGGACAACAGAGTGAGACCCTGTCTCAAAAACAATAATACATGAATAAATTGAAAGTTTGATAAGTAGAATATTTACTAGTTTCAAAGTTTCTCTCCCAAAAATATTTATTAATTACAAAGTGGATCCTGACAGAGCCTGACAGAGCTCACCTTAATAAAGTGATCAAAGCGAGCACCAACGGTGAGAGACAGACTGGGATCACGAGCAACCTAATAAGGTGCAATGAGAAGAACACAGCATTGTGGCCGAGCTGTTTCTGTCGCAGATGCGAGCCTGGATCTAGTCATAAGGAAACACCAGATAAGCCCAAACTGGGGGCTTTCTGCAAATAACTGGTCTGCAACCTTCAAAGTACGAAGGTCATGAAAAGTCTAGGAAAGACTGAAGAATCATTCTGGACTGAAGGAAACTAAAGACATATGAAAACCAAATGCAATGCATAATTCGGACCTGGTTCCTTTAAGACTCTGTGGTACAACTAGCAAAACCTGGCTGTCCCCCGGGGCTGAGATGAGAGTACTGAGTCCATGTTAACTTCTTTTGAAGGATGGATTATGGTCATTGTAGGACAGTGTCCTTGTTTAAAGAAAATACACACTAAATAGTATCACATGACTCGTAAAAAGAAAAGAAAAATAAATAAAATAGGAAATACACAGTAAAATCGGTGGGGAAATGGAGAAACTTACTCTCAAATGGTTTAGATGAAAAACATGTTCTTTGTACTTCCAATGACAGAACTGTACTTTCCAGTACAGTTCTTTGTACTGTACTTCCAACGTTTCTGTAACTTTATGATTTCTTTTAAAAAATAATAAAGTGGCCAGTCATGGTGGCTCATGCCTGTAATCCTAATGCTTTGAGAGACCAAGGTGGAATGACCACTTGAGCCAGGAATTTGAGACCAGCCTGGGCAACACAGACCCTGTATTTATAAAAAAAATTTTTTTGGCCAGGCGCAGTGGCTCATGGCTGTAATCCCAGCACTTTGGGAGGCCGAGGTGTGTGGATCACAAGGTCAGGAGATTGAGACCATCCTGGCTAACGCGGTAAAAACTCATCTCTACTAAAAATACAAAAAATTAGTCAGGCGTGATGGCATGCACCTGTAGTCCCAGCTACTTAGGAGGCTGAGGCAGGAGAATTGCTTGAACCCAGGAGATGGAGGTTACAGTGAGCTGAGATCTGAGATCATGTCACTGCACTCCAGCCTGGGCAACAGAGCAAGAATCTGTCTCAAAATAAATAAATAAATAAAATAAAATAAATATATTTTTTTTAATTAGTGGGGCATGGTGGTGCACACCTGTATTCCTAGCTGCTCAAGAGGCTGAAATAGGAGGATCACCTGAGCCCAGGAGTTTGAGGCTCCAGTGAACTGTGATCACACCACTACACTCTAGCCAGGGCACCACGGTGAGACCATGTCTCTTAAAAAAGATAAAGCAGAGAAGTTATGCAGAGAAAGCTCAAAACAGACCAGCCCTCCTACGGAAAACAACCAAAAACGCTGGTTAAAATAAAGTAAAATAAAACTTAAGGCTCTGGAGAGTAAATGAAAGCAGGCACATTCTGCAGGAAGGCAAAACTTAGAAGAGAGGACAGGTATGGAGGCAGTTTCTTGCTCTATCAGTGGCTTTTATCCTGAGAGCAGGCAGCAGTCACTGCCCAGCACAGAGCAACTAACCCCGTTAGAAAACCCAATGTCTCTCTGACCTAGAGGACTGGCATACAAAACTTAAAGCAACCACAGCCACAAGAAAATGTGGGGAGAATTTCATATTTTCTCTCAAAGGAGAGAGACAGAGGAGGAGCCCCACTTCCTAGATATAACCCTGTCCAAATTTCTAGCTGACCCTGAACCATGCATGTGCTGGTCAGACTCAAAAAGGCCCAGATAAAGATAAAGAAATGAATTGAGATATGAGCAACTGCTCGCTGCAGGGAAGACAGAGTGTGCAAGTTAACTGCCTGTCAAAACAAAAGTGTCAAGTCTTCAGAGGAACAAAACAGAATCCAGAGTCCCCACACCATTTACAATGTTGAGTGCTGCACTAAGAAACAGCCATAGCCACACATTCGCACTGAGCACTTGAAACGTGGCTAATAGAACTTATTAACTTTTTTTTTTGCTTTATTTAATGTTAATTTAAAATTTAAAAATAATATTGATTTAATTATTGGAAAACTTTTAAGTATGTTTGGAATAGTTAGGTATATGAATCTAATATTTCAACTGTAAATCTTATGAAATAGAAATACCAATCAAGAGATTTAGTGTCTGAACTGAAGTCTGCTCTAAGCGTAAAGCATGCACCAGGTTTGAAGCCTTAGTAGACAGAAAGGAATATCAAATGTTTTATTAACAATGTTAACAGTAATTACATGTTGAAATGAAATATTCTGGATGTATACAGTTGAATAAAAATATTAGCATATGTGGCTTACAGTAGATATATACATTTTTTTTTTTTTTGAGACAGGGTCTTGCTCTGTCACCCAGACTAGAATGCATTAGCGTGATCTTGGCTCACTGCAACCTCCAACACCTGGGCTCAAGGTCAGCTAATTTTTAAATTTTCTGTAGAGATAGGGTCTCCCTATGTTGCCAAGGCTGGTCTTGAACTCCTTGGCTCAAGCGATGATCCTACTTGGGCCTCCCAAAGCACTGGGATTACAGGTGTGAACGAACACACCTGAGCTACTCACAGTATATTTCTTTTGGATAGCTCTGTTCTGGGATATTATCCAAACATACTCAATTATAAACAACCAGGGAAATAAGACCCTTCTCAATGGAAAAGACAATCAATGCAGGCCAACCTTGAGATGGCTAATGTGAGAATTACTAGACAAGAACTTTAAAGCAGCCGTCTTACCTGTGTTCAGATTCGAAAGATACATGCCCCTAACTGAAGAAAAACAGAAAATCTAAGCAGGTAAAGAGATCACAAAGAGGAATCAAATGGAAATTCTACAACTGTAATATACAATGTCTAAAAGTAAAAATTCAAGGCGTGGGCTTAATAGCAGAATGAAGATGATAAGAGTCGGTGAACTTAAAGACAGATCTATAGACATTATCCAATCTGAATAATGGAATAAACAAATTTTTTAATGAACTGAGCCTCAGGGGCCAGTGGGACATATCAAAATGTTTAAGAGAGGAAAGAATGGGACAGAAAAAAATATTTGGGAAAATTATGGCTCAAAGCTTGACAAATTCAAAAAAAAGACAGCATTAGAGGGAAGAGAAAACTTTCAAACAGAACATGGTATGCATAAGAAGAAACAAATAGAACTGTATATATTTTGTTTAAGTCAGAAAAAAAAAAAGAGAATCAGTCCTTGAAATTAAGACTATAATTTAGGAATGCCTAAAATTCATTGATCTATTTCTTTTCTTTTCTTTTCTTTTTGAGATGGAGTTTCACTCTTGTTGCCCAGGCTGGAGTACAATGGCACGATCTCAGCTCACTGCAACCTCCACCTCCCGGGTTCAAGTGATTCTCCTGTCTCAGCCTCAGAGTAGCTGGGATTACAGACATGCACCACCACACCCAGCTAATTTTGCATTTTTAATAGAGATGGGGTTTCTCCATGTTGGTCAGGCTGGTCTTGATCACCCGAGGTCGGTGATCCGCCCGCCTCAGCCTCCCAAAGCGCTGGGATTACAGGCGTGAGCCACTGCACCCAGCCTATTTGTTTTCATAACACTTAATTCCCCTGTATTGAAAGTATACACAGTAGGTTGGTTGTGGTATACAGCAAATTCTAAAAAGAAATAAGTTTTTTAATTACTAGAAGATAG